GTCAATTGTACATTTCAACAATTGGAATTCCTTAAGCAAATTACATATTACATAAACCTTGCATTCAGCTGTTCAAAATGACTGAATATTTTGAGCTCAAACTTTCAGACAAGTTATGTTGACTATTTCTGTTATCTATGGGTACACTGTGAAAACTGGGACTTCCCCTTTAAAATGTACAAAGGGACATTTTTAAAGTCTGGTTGAGACCCACTTTTAACAACCCAATCAAGCTAGTGAATTATTAAAACAACATATAACATAGTTAAGATCCCAAAATGACCTAGTTAGTGTTGTTAAATCCCATGTTTCACTCTCTTCCACTGACAATAGAAATTAATCCATGAACATTTATTGCCAGACTGAAGATCTTGATGAAACATGATTTTATGTCAAATAATCAGTGAATTAATGTGTCTGGCTTTTATCTGGCACCTAAAAGTTTCTAACTCATCAAATTAAGCACATAAAAACAAACATATGGTTGTCTTATTAGCACATTGAATGATTGTTTGCCAATTAGTATGAATTTTTTGAAGAATTCCACAGAGACAATGCAGGACATCACATTTATCATAGTCCTGTAATAGACGTACAACAAAACAGATATTTTGTCTATAGAACTGGTATCATCCCAAATGTATTGTCTATAGCTGGTTTTCTAGGTGTATCTCTGCAACAGCTATCATCACAGATATGTTGTCTATTAGTGTATATTTACAGACACATTGTCTATAGGTGTATGTCTATAGATACATTGTTTTGTCTATAGGTGTATGTCTATAGATAGATTGTCTAAAGATATATTGTCTATAGGTGTATGTCTATAGATATATAATGTCTAAAGATATATTGTCTAGGTTGTATGTCTATAGATATATATTGTCTATAGGTGTATGGTTATAGATACATTGTTTTGAATATAGGTGTATGTCTATAGATAGGTTGTCTAAAGATATATTGTCTATAGGTGTATGTCTATAGATATATAATGTCTATAGGTGTATGTTTATAGATACATTGTTTTTTCTATAGGTTTTATGTCTATAGATACATTATCTAAAGATATATTTGTCTCCCGCCTTTCGAATAAAGCAGGGGACTATTAAAATGGCTCCATCCGTCCGTCTGTCTGTCTGTCCGCCTGTCTGTATGTCCATCCGTCTATCTGTCCATCACACTTTTTGGGACACAATAACTCTCCTTCTAATTGAGCTACAATGTTCAAACTTTGTGTAGGTGTTTATTAGGTCAATGACTTGATGGAGTTAGAAAGATGAACATTTTCTGCTTGATTGGTTGATGCTTTGGGACACAATAACTTTAGTTCTAATTAAGTGAGGTGATGAAACTTGGTGTATAGTTTCATTACATCAATAAATTGACTAAGTTTGCTAGATATATTGTCTATAACTGGTATCACAGATAAGTTCACGCTAGAAGACCAGGTGATTGCCTTGTTGAGTGGTCTAATACTGACATTTTAAAGGATAAGATTCCCCCCCTTCCCCTTTCCCCTTTCCCCTCTCTCTAACCCTCTCATATACAATATACAGCTGTCATCAACATAATCATTTTAAAATAAATAATTTGTACGATGAAATAAATGTGTTAAATTTATTACTCATTTTATGCTAGTATAGTAATAAACATCAATAGAACAACTATTAATGTGATAAGGAGTGTGAAATTAAATTATGTTGTCAATGTAGAAAAATCTATGATTATTGTGACTAAATCTATTACAAATGTAACAGTTGGTAGATATGAAACAAGGATTTCTTCAACATTGTCAAAGTTTTTTATGGTATTGAAGATTAATCGTAGAAGTTTTTCTGTGGAATTCAAGCTTTTTTGTGGAAGTTTTTCTGTGGTATTCAAGTTTGATAGTTGAAGTTTTTCTGTGGTATTCATTTTTTATGCTGGTAGTTTATGCTTTTGATAGTAATCAATCTTTTTGAGTGGCTATGGGCTATTTGTTGTATTAGTACCTGCTCATGCAGGTACTAGGGGGTTGGATGGCTGAATTGTTAGTGCATGCACGTTGTATTATAAGGCCTGTCATTGAGTCAACTGGCGTGGTTTTGATTCCCCGGTGACAAGGAGTAGGGTCGCCTGTCCAACCTTGTGGGTTTTCTCCAGGTCCTATGGTTTCCGCCCATTGCTAAAGACCCCTACACGCAAGTGAATTATGGAAATAAATTGAACCATGTGTTAGTCCCAAAATGACTTAGTTTGTGTCGAGTAGACATTAAAACCTCTCTCTCTCTCTCTGGGTGCAGAAAAGTAAGAAAGTAAGAGAGAGAAATGGGGTTTAACGTCCACTCGACACAAACTAAGTCATTTCTGGACTAACATATGGTTTAATTTTATTTCAATAATTCGCTTCTTGTAGGGGTCTTTAGCAGTGGGAGGAAACTGGAGGACCCGGAGAAAACCCACGAGGTTGGACAGGCGACCCTACTCCTTGTCATGTACAACCGGGGATTCGAAACCACGCCAGATGACTCTATGACAGGCCTTATGATACAGCGCGCACATACTAACCATTCGGCCATCTACCCCCCTAGAAAAGTAAGACATTCAACGTCATTTAATTTCGAGAAGGAAGCCAACTTACCATGGTATATTTCTATAACTTTGTCCCCGCATGGTTTCCCCTTGTCAGTGGTACAGGACGGAAGGCCTGAGATGGACAGCTGTCTGGTCGTTTGGATGGGATGAAAAACATGTCCCATGTACACATTGGAGTGCATGTAAAAGATCCTTTGGCAAATGGAATTTGATATAAGAGTAGACCATAGACATAGTGCAGCTGTCCAGAGAAATTTCCCCTCAAAGCACACTGTATGGCTAATGCCTGTCTTAATTAGCACAGTTGGAGCAGAACAGTAGGACATTAAACCCCATTTCATTTCATATCACATTATCCTGTCCTTTCTGATGTTCATAACAAAATTATTCCTTCATAAACATGTGTTATTGTTTATAGCTAATTACTTGATATGAATGTATACATTTATACAGCAATTAACAATAAAATCAATAAACTGCCAGTTTCCATATACTTATACATAAATTAAATATGATGTCAGCTTTTCCAATTCACACAGTTTATTCAGATGGAACAATGCTACCATTGTTATCATGATTAGAATTCAAAATGGCAGCTCCAACATCGGCACCAGGCAGTGGACACGGTGAAGGTAAAATTCTAAGTTTACATGATTATGGTGGCGGGATGGTCTCATTTGCCTTTTATTGTGTAACAATTTGTGGTGCACGTAAAAGACCCCTTCTCAGTCAGGACTCGGGGTAGACTAAGTTCAATATAATGTTGATACAATGTTGTGTTGTTGAAATGTTGTGTTGATAAATTCACTTGAACCAATTTGTAGTGAACATAAAAGATAGTTTCTAAGTCAGAGTTGTCAGGATAAAACTAAAGTATTTGTTAGTCTTCATATGGGAGAATATAGTGTTGATGGAATATAGTGCTAATAAATTGTTGTGTTGATGAAATATTGTGTTAGTAATATCTAGTGATGATAAAATATTCTGTTGATGAAATACTGTGTTAGTAATATCTTGTGATAATAAAATATTCTGTTGATCAAATATTGTGTTAGTAATAATATCTTATGATGATAAAATGTTCTGTTGATACAATATTATGTTGATACTAAGTTGTGTGGATCAAATATTGTGTTGATACAATGTATTGATGAAATGTTGTGTTCATGAAATATTGTGTTGATACAAAGTTGTGTGAACATAATGTATTGATGAAATGTTTTGATACAATGTTGTGTTGATACAAAGTGGTGTGAACATAATGTATTGATGAAATGTTTTGATACAATGTTGTGTTGATACAAAGTGGTGTGAACATAATGTATTGATGAAATGTTGTGTCAATGATGAAATATTGTGTCAATGATAAAAGGGGGGTTGGATGGCTGAATGGTTAGCACGTGCGTGCTGTATCAGAAAGTCTGTCATTGAGTCAACTGGCGTGGTTTCGAATCCCCGATTGTACGTGACAAGGAGTAGGGTCGCCTGTCCAGCTTCGTGGGTTTTCTCCGGGTCCTCCGGTTTCCTCCCACTGCTAAAGACCCCAACGCGCAAGCGAATTATGGAAAAAAAAATTGAACCATATGTTAGTTCCGAAATGACCTGGTTTGTGTCGAGTGGACGTTAAACCCCATTTCTCTCTCTCTCTCAATGATAAAATGTTGGGTTGATACAGTAAAGTTAACCAATTTATTGTGCATGCAAAAAATCCTTCCTCAGTCTGAATATTCAAGGTAGACTAGGTTCAATGGTAGACTAGGTTCAATATGCTGTTGTTACAATGTTGTGTTGTAGAAATGTTGTGTTGATAAAATGTTGTGTTGATGAAATGTTGTTCTGACAAGAGTCTTTGACAGGTTTTTTTCAAATTTGATGTCGAGCATCAGCACCATGAGAAGATGATCTCTGTCAATTTTCAGCCTTCACTGATAAGCTACATAGCTGCTGTGTGGGCATATTTCTTCGCTTTGCTTGGCTACCTTGTTTTATTTTGTGTGTTGAAATGATGTGTTTTAGTTCTGCCATGCTCGCCACAAACACAATATTTAACTTTTTGTTGTGTTTATATAGAGACAGCTGGAAAATATTGTAAAAGCTGTCACCGTTATCTCTTTTTAGTGTATAGAAATATGTAAACTTTCCTGACATTTTGTTGAGTGAGCCACCGTGACTCCCTCTGAAGTTAAAAAACTATTTAATATTAGCATATAGAAATATGTGAACTTTCCAGACCTATACCAGGATAAAACCCTGGACCACGTGGTTAGTTAGCCAGCACCCTATTCACTGAGCCACCTTTTAACATCAATGTAATCTGTATTTATGTATATTTTCAAAATCCTGGACCACCTGGTTAGTGAGCCAGCACCCTATTCACTGAGCCACCTTTTAACATCAACGTAATCTGTATTTATGTATATTTTCAGTACCAACAGAAGCAGTAGGGTTTTTAGGAGCAGTTGGTGTCTTTCTCTTTCTGCTTATTATATTCTTCTTGTATTTGAATAAACTTCTGTGTTTCAAGAATTGTGGAGGATTCCCCTGTATTGATGCAATTCCTGCAAAACAGAAGAACAAATTAGGTGAGTACAACCATTTAATTCTATTTTCATAAAAATCAAGAAATATCCCGTGCCTGGACCTCCAGTAAAAGATTGAAGAGTGAATATGGCACCCTTTGCAAGTGCCCAAGGATACGATTTTATCTAGATATCTTAAAAATGTCTGTAACACACTAACAATCTGGTAGACATAATCCTTAAGTGGCATTTAGCGATTGAACACATTAAAAAACACTACACAGTTTATATGGAAATACAATCACTGGTTTATAAGTATAGCAAAATGTTTCGACAAGTATTCTCTTATCGTTATCAAGCACAAACAATTTATCATTTGTGCTTGATAACGATTAGAGAATACTTGTTGAATCGTCGTGCTATACTTATAAACCAGTGATTGTATTTCCATATAAACTGTGTTGTGTTTTTTAATCTGGTAGACAAATGAATAAGAGAGTTTTATTTAGGCTAAGTCTGTTGTGCAATCCCATTCAGATATCCCAAATAAAAATATTGTTTATGAAAATAAAACTATGATTAAAAAACACAAAAACATAATATGGAACACAATTACTATTTTAATTAAAGTGACGTTTCTTTGAGGGTTCTCTCATCGTTTTCAAGCAAACGTTCAACCCTCAACGAAACGTCGCTTTAATTAAAATAGTAATTGTGTTCCATATTATGTTTTTGTGTTTATTATGTATGTCAATTACTAAATGCCGCTCAAAGAAGAAAAACTATAATTGTTGATCAATAACACAATTTTGAATTGTAATACCTTGATGGTATCTTGGATTCATTAGTCCAGATATTAGTCTCAAGTTTGTCATTTTGTTCCTCTGTCTTTTTAGAAAACATTATTCCTAATATTGAAACAGTACACATACATGAGGGCAATTTCGTACTATCCGGTCCCCAAAAATACATAACAGGATTATGGCCCTTGTTTGACCTGACAGACTGCATGTTTTTACATTTTTATATTTCTGATTCACGAAAACTTAAACTAAAATATTTTAAGAATACAGGCTTTTCATTGGCTAACAGCTCAAATAATAGGATTTTACCTCTAAACCAAGGAGAGTGCTGCATGTTTAAAATATTTTTTTGAAGTTTTCGTGAATCAGGTTCCTGGTACATTGAATATAAGCCTATTTATTTTGTTAAGGAGAAGACGATTCAGACTAATTGATCATAGCTACAGTAAGACCAGCATATCCAGTCGTATCTCAATGATTATTTACGGTGAGACACTTGAGGGAATATGGTTTTTTATACGCCCACATTTTCATGTGGACGTATTATGCCGTCGCCCCTGTCCGTCCGTCCGTCCGTCCACAATTGTTTGTGGACTCTCTACAGGTCACAATTATTATCCGATTTCAACGAAACTTGAAATATAGGTTTATCTCCAAAAGATCTCGACTGCTTTCGATATTGGCATGTATCGGATCGAAACTTCATGGATTATGGCCCCTGTTTGTACGAAAAATCACGTTTTTAGCTTGTGGACCCTATAGAGGTCACAATTTTTATCCGATTTTGTTGAAACTTGAAATGTAAGTTTATAACCCAAAGATCTCAATTCCTTTCGATATTTGCGCATATCGGACAGTAACTTCATGAATTATAGCCCCTGATTGTACGAAAAATCACGTTTTTAGCTTGTGGACCCTATAGAAGTCATAATTTTTATCTGATTTAAAAAAACGTTCTATTATATCACCGTTACACCCTAAGGATGACTGAATTCGGCCCAAAATTGACAAACAAAATGGCCGCTGTTCGTTCCCAAATAGCGTAAGAATATGGTATATCAAGGTTGTGGACCCTATAGGGGTCACAATTTTTATCCGATTTTGTTGAAACTTGAAAAATGTAAGTTGATAACCCAAAGATCTCGGTTCCTTTCGATATTCGCGCATATCGGACCGTAATTTCCTGAATTATGGCCCCTGATTGTACGAAAAATCACGTTTTTAGCTTGTGGACCCTATAGAGGTCATAATTTTTATCCGATTTAAAAAAACGTATTATTATATCACCGTTACACCCTAAGGACGACTGAGTTTGAATTTCATGAAAATCGGCCCAAAATTGACAGACAAAATGGCCGCCGTTCATTCTCAAATAGCGTAAAAATATGGTATATCAAGGTTGTGGACCCTATAGAGGTCACAATTTTTATCCGATTTTGTTGAAACTTGAAATATAAGTTTATAACCCAAAGATCTCGGTTCCTTTCAATATTTGCCCATATCGGACCGTAAATTCCTGAATTATGGCCCCTGATTGTACGAAAAATCATGTTTTTAGCTTGTGGACCCATTAGAGGTCATAATTTTTATCCGATTTAAAAAAACGTATTATTATATTACCGTTCCACCCTAAGGACAGTTGAGTTTGAATTTTGTGAAAATCGCCCCAAAATTGACAGACAAAATGGCCGCCGTTCATTCTCAAATAGCGTAAAAATATGGTATATCAAGGTTGTGGACCCTATAGAGGTCACAATTTTTATCCGATTTTGTTGAAACTTGAAATGTAAGTTTATAACACAAAGATCTCAGTTTCTTTCGATATATGCGCATATCGAATTGTAATTTCCTGAATTATGGCCCTTGATTGTAGGAAAAATCACTTTCTTGTTAGCTTGTTTTCTATCCATCTCTCGAAAATGTGGGCGTATCCTGCCTGGCAGCCGCTGGTATATATATATATCTTGAACCCTATTCTCAACTCGCTTTGGTTTTCTATCCATTTAAGGTTTACCAGCTTATCTTGAGCCGTAATCTACCTATTTATTTTCTCTTAATGGAACTGAGCAATATCTTTATATGGTTATAGTTTCTGCCTGTTAAAGACTCACTTCATCGTCACAGTCTTGATTCTTGTCAATCTGGGTGGAATTCTTTATTAAAGAAATATTATAACTTATAAACCTACTTGCATCCTCTCCAGGGCCAAATTCCTACCTTCTTTGGAACTGGCTTTACTTCTAAAGCAATAGCGTGGGATATCTGGAATCCTCTCTTGGTTTCAACTCTTGTCAGATTCTGTCCGGATCTCAATAGTTATTTAAAGGAGATGGTCCATCTATCTGTTTCTATATTAAAGGAGATGGTCCATCTGTTTGTATATTAAACGTCTTGACCCATCTGTTTTTATATTAAAGGAGATGGTCCATCTGGTATATTAAACGTCTTGATCCATCTGTTTGTGTATTGAAGGAGATGGTCAATCGGTTTCTATATTAAAGGAGATGGTCAATCTGTTTCTATATTTAAGGAGATGGTTCATCTGTTTCTATATTAAAGACGATGGTCCATCTGTTTGTATATTAAACGCTTGACCCATCTGTTTCTATATTAAAGGAGATGGTTCACCTATTTCTATATTAAAGGGGTGTCTATCTGTTTCTATATTAAAGACGATGGTCCATCTGTTTGTATATTAAACGTCTTGACCCATCTGTTTCTATATTAAAGGAGATGGTCCATCTGTATATTAAAGGTCTTGACCCATCTGTTTGTGTATTAAAGGAGATGGTCAATCTGTTTCTACATCAAAGGAAGTAGTCCATCTGTTCCTGTGTTAAAGGAGATGGTCCATCTGTTTCTATATTAAAAAAGATGGTCCATTATTCTGCCTTGTCACCTGTTACAAACTTTGTCAGACATAAATTATCGCACAACATTTTTATTATAATATATATGTCATGCGATAATTTGTACTTTACAATGTCTGTGACAGGTGTCTTGTGTCCAGGCTTGTATATGTACGTTGTGTTAAAATTTATACTTAACAAAGTCTGTGACATGTGCATATATCCAGACTTATGATTAATGGTGACAAATTATTCTGGTTTGCCACTTTAAATAGTTGTGCAGTGCATTATAAAGTTATTTTGAAATTTTCAACTATAACCAAACATACACAAAAACAAGCGAACATTGTCTTTTATAAATGTCTATAAATAATTCATCTTTATGTTAAATCAATATTTATGCATTCATATACAGTATATTATAGTTTATATACATGTATAAATCTTAATCGATAATAATAAAAAGTTATTTTGAAATTTTCAACTATAACCAAACATACACAAAAACAAGCAAACATTGTCTTTTATAAATGTCTATAAATAATTCATCTTTATGTTAAATCAATATTTATGCATTCATATACAGTATATTATAGTTTATATATAAATCTTAATCGATAATAATAAAACTTTATCTAACATCTTAATCAATAATTATATAATAAAACTTTCTCCATCATCTGTAGAAGGAATACAATGTAGGAATGTGGCATCTAGAACATTTTCACAACTTGTTTGATAATATGAAAATTAAGATGTATTAAAATACAGATGTGACATCATCCTTTGATGTTGGTGTACCATTATTTCCAGTAATGTACTGGCAACTTGCCAATTGTACATTATCTATACTAGATGAAATTTTGGACTCGCGTGACATATTTCATTGAAAAGCATGTGTGGGATAGTGTCTATATTTTAAGTTGTTTAATGGTGTTGAGCTAAATACATTGCGTAATATATTGAAACAACACTCTGCTAACGCCTCAAGCAGTATCAGTATATTACTTAATGTCCCGCTCTCAACCATTAAACTGGTTTCCCCTTGTCAGTGGTGCAGAACGGAGGGCCAGGACAGCTGTCTAGTCCTTCGGATGACATGAAAAACCGAGATCCCGTGTATACACTGGAATGCACGTAAAAGATCCCTTGGCAGTTGGAATTCAATATAAGAGTAGGCGATAGTGCCCCTGCTTGGGTAAAATTTCCCTCATAGCACACTGTATGGCGTATGCCCGTCTTCATTAGCCCAGTATAGGAGCAGAACAGTAGGACGTTAAACCCCATTTCATTTCATTTCATTTCGACCATTAAACAATACACAATGTTCTGCCTCAGATCAATCCATATCTATGTTCAAAGAGCTTTTTTAAAGAAATAAGCCTATCAATCTGATTAAAACACAGATCGATATTTCGTTTTGGTTTTTTTAGACTTTCAATGGTCTACACTACATGAAGATCTGGTTTACCCACAGTTCCGTGCATGGCAGCCAAGAAGTCGCTGTAACAGATGGTGTCATTGGCTAATCCCTCACGACATCCAGAATGCCTGTTATATAACAACTCTTCCAGATCCCAAATAAAACAAAATTTTGAACCATGAAAAAACGAAACGAAATAAGATCTGTGTTTTAATCAAATCGTAAGATTATACATGTGTTAAATAAGCAAGTTTTTAATTTTGATTTGAAATGATCAAATTGAGGTTTACAACCATGGAGACTTACATATGTTTAAAGTGAAATATTTTATTGTTTATTTATTTTAAAATATTGTTTGAATGAAACTGGAGGATCCAGAGGAAACCGACGATGTCGAACAGGCAACCCTACTGCTTATTGTCACGTACCACGCCACTTGAATCAATGACAGAGTTCGCTCCCAATGTTGGCCGAGAAAGTTCATCAGGATTTTCCGACGTGTGGGGCAGGACAGAGGGCCTGACAAGGACAGTTGTCTAGTCATTTTGATGGGAGGAAAAACTGAGGTCCTGTAAAAGATCCCTTAGCAGTTGGAATTTGATATAAGAATAGGCCGTAGCGCTGCTGTCCAGGCAAAATGTCTCCGATAGGAGACTGTATGGCCTATACTGTCTTCAATAGCCCAGTCGGAGCAGAACAATAGGAAATTAAACCCCATTTCATTTCATTTTATCTGCAGGACAATGGGTGATATATTGAATTAATCCTCGCGATAACGGCTTCAAGCAGTATCAATATAATAAAACGTCTCTCTCTCAAACATTAAACCACATATAATTTTAACAAATTAAAGCATTATATTCATGTATCACTAAACTACAACATATGTCACTATAATAATTCAAATTATAGGGAAGGAAATATCCTGATATTGATGGTTATTATAATATGTATATAAACACTTTTTTTTATGTTTTTATATTGATTATTTGAAACAGCTGGGGTCTATATTACAGATATTGTCAATAATGCATCTTATCTTGAATAAAACTCCCACGTCTCAAATTGGGACTAATAACCCATCTCTGACAACACAAACTTAGAAAATAAAATAGCTGTGTATGTCTGTGCCTTGATTAGTGCTAAATGATAAGGCCAGCTCAATTTTTTGTCATAGGTCACGAGATGTAATCCCAACCCTAACCACCCTAACCC